AAAAAAAAAAAAAAAAATTATCTTATTATGCAAGATCCCCGTCTGCTTTCCCTACCTGGTCTCCAGCCTCTCCTTCTTTCCTTCTTTCCTTATGCATCAGCCATGGTAGGGGAGGGAGTGTTTCTTTCCATACCATGAACTCAGTATGTTCATTAATGTCCTAAGGTCTTTGCATTTGCCATTACTTCTCTTAAAATGCACTTCTTTTTGTCTGTCTTTTTCTTGACATTCACATCTTTGCTTGATTATCTTAATCTCAGAGAGCTTTCTTAAGCATCTTCTGATGTTTTTGTCCTCATTCTTTTTTTTTATGACCTTTATTATTATCTGAAAAAAGCGCATTTATTGGCAATTTTCTTGTCTATCTTCCCTGTTGAAATGTGAACTCCATGAGCACAGAGGCCATGGCTATCTTTTTGGCCATTTCAAAGAACCAGCTTCACAAATCATACCTGCTGCATGGTAGGTGTTTTTGTTATTATGGTCATTGTGTTTTGGAGTATGCACTTTTCTGCAAGGTATAATTTGAGTTTCGTATTTGGGCATTAGTGGAAGTTACTCATTCCTTCTAAGAGTCACACTGTAAGATTTGTTATAATATTTACCTTCTGAAGCTCATGAGCTTAAGTTGGCCCCAAAGTTAACAAAAATAAGAGACTTGTTAATATTGAAGAAAGATGAATTATTGGGATATAGATGCATGACATTCAGGAGTCTTCTGGCCTTCCTTCTTTATTAACCCTGTTGCGTTATATAGTTTTGATCTGATCTTTAGAAAACAGGCTGCAGATGAGGAGGAGAAAACTGACAAAGGGAGTGGGGGGGGGGGTGAAGACCAAAATCACTTTACAAAATCTGCCAGAGGCATAAAATAGGGGGAAAAAAATCTTTGAGCTACAGGAGTCTCAGATTGTTAAAAGCCTTCTTTAAGCTTGGGAGCTTGTGGCAGAGAAGAGATAAAAAGTGATTTTTAGATTGTAAGTACTTGGAAAGTGACAGTGTCACCAAAAGCACAGCCTAGTGATTAGAGAAGAGATTTTCCAACAGGGCTGTTACAGATGTGGAATAAGTTCAGAATTATAGCCCCAAATGAAATGTTCCTAGTAAAAATGTATTCTATAGAAATAAGACATTCAGGGTAGTTTGGGGCTGTATTTTTTAAGACTTTTAAACTGATTGCCTAGAGGACTCAGCTGGGATTTCTTTCTTTTGAAGACTGCATTGTACAATTAGATAGGATATTACAGGTTGTGGTCCCACCTCCAAAGCCTCAGGATAGGGCTCCCAAGAGGTAAGATGCGAGCTGAGCTGAGCCTGTAACAAATCTTTGAGCCCTTAGAGAAAGCACAGTGTTTCATGGAGAGGGGCCCTAACTTCTTTATGGATTCATCTGGCAGTTTTCTGCTGGAGCTGAGCAGAAGCCAACCCAGGAGATTCTTGACTCTGTTTTTCATCTCCCTTGCATTGTCTGTGATTATATATTTTGCTGTATTGAAGTGGCACTAAGTGCCCCACACCCAGCCAATTGATCCACGGACCTCTGTCTTCTTTGCCATTGACTTACTGAAGATCTATTAGCTGCCTAGCTCCACTTCAGAGTTGGAAATTGCACAAATATATGTATTGGGCGAGGGGAGAAGGTTGGAGACACTATCCGAGAACTTAACATCTGCCTTGTTATTTATGAAATCACTGATTTGTCTTTTCAGTATGATATTCTGATTAAGTGCCGTGAAGATAGGATCTAAAGGCTGTTGATAACGGAAGATGGGGAGAAAGAAGTAGAATTTGAAGCTGGTTGACCCTGAAATCATCAAACATTTTTTTTTTTTTTTTTTCATTAATCAGTAGTTTTTATTATGGTTTTGTGGGGTACAGTTAAGGGTAGGTGTACAATGACGTTTCATTCAGGCACCCTGTAGATAAGAAGTGTTTTCCCATCCCCCGACAGATATTTGCTACTGTTAATCCCATCCCCCTCCCCCCCGTAGGTTCCCCGTACCATCCGTCATTTTCTCATAGTATTGCATTGGATGTTCAAGGTCCATTATATGAGTGAGAACATGTGATATTCGGATTTTTGTTTTTGTGAGAGGTCACTCAGTAT